AAGTGGTTAAGGCGTGCTTTTAGGTAACCACAAATGGATACCACAGACCCTGTGTTGCTGTATTTTAAACCTCTGGTGATTATTTCGTGGACATTGCATTTCCCTGCCCAACTGTGAACTCTGCACGTGAGCAACAGAAGACAAAGGAACAATGCCCATTTGGTGGAGATAACCCATGTGTGTGCACAGACCAATGCCCATTTGGTGGAGATAACCCATGTGTGTGCACAGGTCAATGCCCATTTGGTGGAGATAACCCATGTGTGTGCACAGATCAGTGCCCATTTGGTGGAGATAACCCATGTGTGTGCACAGATCAATGCCTGTTTGGTGGACATAGCCCATGTGTGTGCACAGATCAATGCCCATTTGGTGGAGATAACCCATGTGTTTGCACAGACCAATGCCCATTTGGTGGAGATAACCCATGTGTTTGCACAGACCAATGCCCATTTGGTGGAGATAAGCCATGTGTGTGCACAGATCAATGCCCGTTTGGTGGAGATAACCCATGTGCCTGCACAAGTCAATGCCCACTTGCCACCAGCTGCAATGAGCACCTGGCCAATTTGTACTTGTATGTACAATCTTCCAGCATCCAGTTAAAATGGTTCCCTCCAGCCTCTCTTTCCTGTGCCAATAAGGGATACGTACTTCCACATATATAGCAAATAACAATGAGGGAGGACTGCTGCACATAGTAAATAACCAGGCAAGCTTGGGCATTTTAATAATGAAAGCAGGTAACTACAAAGAAATTTAGTGCATATTTTTTCCTCTCTGCATGACATCCAATAACTTCCTCTCGTACACATGTACAGGTAATTGGTGAACTATAAATAATTTGATCTTACTGTAGAGTGTTCTCTGTCATAGCTAGGAAAACTTACCAAAGAGCCTGAACAGAGACTGGCTTGAAAGTGTGGGTTCTGCTCTTGGAACAGAGGTTGAAGCCACTGCAACAAGATCAATACGGAAACATATTCAAATCCAACCACAACCTTTAACCCCGGGGAAGTCACTACAACAATCACAGACATATGTAAACCTTTCAACCGGAACTTTGGCAGAACAGGATTTTGTGAAGTGAAACCCCGGCATGCAAGGTTCCATACTTGTTCTTCCACTTTTTCATTTCATTAATAATCACAGGCTTCTAAAAACTCCTATACCTATCCTGGTAAACAGCAAAAAAAGGTTAATGGCTCAAAATTCTATAAAACTGATTATCACACAGAAAATTATCACATACAAGTACGTGCAATCTGCAAGGGATCTTCTTTTTTTTCCATATGTACAAGGCCATGCACATTATCCCCAATAGCAACAGTCTGAAGCAATTGTGAAAGTGAAACGGGTGAGAAGGTGCACTATCCTCAGGTAAGCAACAAACACTCGCCTTTTTGACATCCGGTCAGCCATGACAAACTAGCCGGGACGATTTGCTTTTCAGCTGACTTTTATTTTGTTTTGCATAGTTCTTGCGTGGCCGGGCAGGAAGGAAATGCAGGAAGAAAAGGAAACTTTGGGGAGGCGATAAAGGGAGTTGGTGTTTTTACAACTCTGTGAAGAGTGATATTACTGAGTGGGAGGCTGTGTATTGCTTCCAGGAGAGATCAGTTAATGGCGGGATGCTATAAAATTTCCTTCATGAAATTACCTATTCAAAAACTAGACTCTGTCTAGATCAAATGAGGTAGAATTTTTATGTGATTCTTTTAAGCTGTTTTCACATTCTTAGCACTGCTAAACAGAAAGAATCTGCAAGTCTTTGCAATATTTATGCAAATGCAGATTTCAGTGCTCATCAGAAAAAAAAAAACACCCTCTCAAGTCAAAGTTTCAGGGTCACAAAGTACTAGTTTACAGCCCTACTGTGCTCAGCAGTATTATGTGTACTACATTAAGTAAAATTAGCTGGAAATCAGTTGAAAGAAATACATGTACATGTACACCATGTATGAGACTTGGCTGGTAACCCAATATTGCCTAGCAACGTTCTGTGCCTAGCGGTTTTATCAAATACAATGTATGCCAGGATTTTTGTACTTTGCTATGTTTGATTTATGGTTGTGCAACGTTTTTATCTCCCTTTTCTTTTTTTCCACATCTGGGCACCTTCCTCCAAATACAATTTAAAACAGTGGTGTGTTGCTTTCTGCTAGTTGTCACAGGAACGCAACTCATCACTCACCCATCTCCATTCAGCTGAATGGTGGTCTCGCACCAGATCGGCAAAACCAGGCCAATGGTGGCTGTGTTGGACATGATGTCCATCCCAAGGATGACGCTCTCCTCCGTGTCCTGCACACCATTGCAGGACACCAGGATGATGTAACGAATGCGTTCCTCGTACATACTTTCCAATCGCACCGCCTTACACAAAAGAGAAGAAATTGAAGAAATTATAGAACGAGCCCTTTTGAGGTATCCGTATTTACATGGATCAAGCTTGAGCTGCTTAAAATTGCTCTTAAGTTTTAGGTCAATTAAAAAAACTTCAGCAAATCAGATCCTTTCCTTAGTAATTTCATGTAGCATTTCCCAATATATATATTCCTCCTTAAACCCTATACAGAGAGAACTTTCCAGAAAGTGTCCTTAATTACAGTCCTTTGTACACACCAATGAGGCACCTAGCAACCACACAACAGTTCTTAATTCATCCTACAGTACTCCTCCCATCAGTGGGTTTGGGCAGATTTAGCAAGAGTTTCAATGTATATGATATTTTTACCAAAGCAAACAATTCCAAATTAAAGAAAGGAAAAATCCCAACAATTTTTGAAATTCAATTCAATTCTTCAAATTGCATTCTGCATTTTAAAAAAATTACTGAAAAATAACGATGCATTATCTCAAGTTACATTCAGTAATACATGGAAATACTGAAATCAAATCTTTGTTGGTGGTGCTGTACATGTATTTGTGCATCCATTGTTGAGGGGTTCACACGTAAGCGTCAGGTTTCAGAGGAAGAACCAGACAGCATGTAAAAACAATAATATGTTTTGATGACAAATTCTAGACAGGCTCTTGGCAAAGAGTTTCACAGAAGGCAGGATATATATTCATGCATACAAGGACTCATCGTCATGGCAGGGACTGATGTCAGGAAGGGAAAAAAGTGCACTTGATCTGGCCAGCAATTAACAAGGCATGTGTTTGCAATGACGTACATGAAGTGGGGATTAGCGTGAACAAGGACGAGGGGTGCATCAGGGGTGAGATTGACCAAGGATCAAAATAGCTGCAAACAGCTGAAACAAGGCATAAAGAAGTTGAACTGTGAAATCTCCTCTACTTTTGTACACAGCCAGTGAGGAAAAAAAGCTGAAATCTAGAGCAAATATAGCTGAAACCAGCTAAAAAGCTGAGAAATCTCACCCCTGGCTCATATTAACCAGGTTACAAAGCTACAGTACATGTACTAGTCAGGGCTTCACAGCACTCTGCATCAATAGTTGCCTTCCAAGTTCTGCCAAAAATCCTACGGCGAGAATGAATTTTCAGATGGTGGACTTTTTGCTTTTGTATACAGAACTATTTTTCAGTGAGGTGCAAAGAATGTGTGATTGGTTTCCTTCACCACTGTGGGATTTGAATTGATGAAAGTGTTTTAAAAGCCAAGGGCATGCACAAGTTTAGAGTTAGACTACCTGAAGGGTGAAAGTAGACACAGTGTGTGGATCAGGTTAGGAGAGACTTTACTAATTAATTTTTTAGATTACGGTACTGGTATACAAAAGTCAAACACCAACCTTATAAATAAGCACCACTGTATGCACAAATTAAAAGGATGGCTATGCTTTTATAAAA